GTTTAACATATCTTATTGAAATTTGGCACAGATATAAAACAAAGTCTGGAGTACACATGGGATAAGCTACATCCCTGAGAAATGTCCGGTTACGTAGCTTTTTGTATTTGCTATAAAAAAAGTCAATTTTTTTATTAGGATATTTACTTAATTTTTCCTTTCAAAGACTTACACAATAAGATGAAAAACAAATATTGTAATTAACAAAAACATTGTTAAAAACCAGTTTTATCAGAAAAAGTAACAAAAGTTTTGCTTAGGTTTTTTTTTCTAAAATAATCCAATTATTTTAAATTAGAGTGTCTATGGCTCTAGGGTTTAAGCAATTGATAAGTAATCTAGATCCTTGTTTGTATCCTGCCATATCTTTTTTTTGAATTTCGGATGTACATAATTTACCTGACATTCTAATGGTGAAAGAAAACCTAGTGATGTAACACACACATGGACAAGGAATTTCAAATATATTTGTGAAGTCCACCAACCTGCAATGGGCCAGCATGTTTGACTAAGGCCTAGTAATTTAGGGTACGCTCCAAGCCCCTCAATAGGGACAGTAAACTGGTGATGAATTAATTAAATTTACTTTTTTGTCAGCCCTATTATAGCACTGGTGGTCCCCGCGTCCATCCCCAACATGCCGTACCACATACATTTTACGCGCGGCGATGGCGACGCGCGCTCCGACATCATCAACTACAAGTTCACCTCCTATGACGTCATCTGTCTGCTCATTTCACTATGCCTCGGCGCTTGGTATCTACTCAAGAAGGTGAGATAAGAACGCCGGAAGACTAAATTTTAGTTCCTACCTTATTGCACTTTTGTATAAGGAAAGCATGGGAAGTGGAGTAAAGCTGTTGTTGAGATTAATTTAGTTAATGCTTATTTATTCTGTAGTATTTAACAGTTTTTGAAAAAGGGCATTTGAAAGCAAATTTTCAAATGCCCTTTCAATTTCAAAGTTCAAGTTAAAATTTTATAAATTACTTATCTTATTTTTTATTAATATTATAAATGTGAATTTGACAGATGGATGTAAGCTAGAGTTTGTAGCTGTTTAAAATATAATTATCAATAGTTAATTTAATAATAATAATAATATGTAAAGTAAAAAACTACCAACATTAGACAAGATAAATGTCGGATGCCTGTGGCAACACCAGCTTCCGGGAGATACTCACCCAACGACCGACATCAAAGAAAGAAGCAAAAACTGACGGCCGTCCGCCGTTAATCAAAAGCGTATTTTGTACGTATTCGTCCCCCTTCTGCAATTTAAACCGAAACAAGAATCAAAAACAGTAGCCTAAACGGCTGAACTTAATGAAATTTGGTATACATGTAAAAATAATCTGAAAGAACACATAGGCTTACTTTGTTTTTTTAAATTGACGGACGGAGTTGAAAGCCAGTATTTAACAAAATTAATAGCAACACAAAGAGATCTTCAAATTTCCTAATATTGTGATTGTACAGCACTGGATCGCCAACAATCTGTTCGGTATCGCTTTCGCCATCAACGGTGTGGAGCTGCTGCACCTCAACAATGTGGTGACAGGCTGCATCCTGCTCAGCGGTCTCTTCCTCTATGACATCTTCTGGGTGTTCGGCACCAACGTCATGGTAACCGTCGCCAAGTCATTTGAGGCGCCTATCAAACGTAAGTAACAGAATTATTTTACTTACAGGTTTTTTCTGACTGACTGTATCTTTTTGACACTCAAGGAAAGAACAGGAATCAAATCAAAACACATTAGTCAAAATTAGTAGGATTATCTATTTCTAAGTTAGATTTCATAATGATGCTTAAAATAAACAGGGAGCCTATGTAACCCATAGACGTAAAAGCAAATTTTTACTTGCAAAGCCTACTTTATAATTGACAAAGGAAATGCACTGAAAGCATATATTTGTCTTCTTCTTCCAATCCTTATCAGAAAACGATAGGAAGAGGAATAGAACAAAATTAGACCTCCAGCACTCATACTTATTTCTTATTTAATAAATTATATTTATATTTGTATTTCAATTGTGTGCAATGTGCAGTGGTGTTCCCGCAAGACCTGCTGGTGAACGGCCTGAGCGCGAGCAACTTCGCGATGCTGGGGCTGGGCGACATCGTGGTGCCCGGCATCTTCATAGCGCTGCTGCTGCGCTTCGACAAGTCGCTGCGGCGCGGCTCCGAGCTCTACTTCCGCGCCACCTTCCTGGCCTACGTGGCCGGGCTGCTGGCCACCATCCTCGTCATGCACGTGTGGCGCCACGCGCAGCCCGCGCTGCTCTACCTCGTGCCCGCCTGCCTCGCCACGCCGCTCACGCTGGCGCTGCTCAAGGGCGACATCAACGCGCTCTTCAAGTTAGTACACACACGCACCACATACACCCCTTCTTCTCTTTCACACCATCCATCCATACTTTCTTGCATACACATTCTTAACTTTATCCATTCTTGTCACACCACACATCTTAACAGACGCATCTCAGCCACATGCAATCTCCTTTCACCACCAATCAATATATTAGGATATTTTTCTATTGAATTGACTCGATAAATTGGAAAAAATCCTGTTTATTAAAACACTAACTGTTATTTGAACCTTTGTACAGGTGGAATTAAAAAAAAAAAAAACAATGTAGGCAATGTTACTAATGACATGTGTATTGGTGAAAGTATTTTTCAAATTGATCCAGTAGTTTCGAGTTACTTCACATACAAAAATACTAATATTTGCTTTTTATATGATTAATCTATTTTGGAAACGTCATTTCACGCACTGCATCTATAATTTAGCATGTTAAATTGCCACATGTTTTCAACCTAATTGCGTCAAATGAGACTTCTCAAAATGGGTAGGTAATAAACTTCCTCGACTGTATACGTTCACAAATAGAGACAGAACTTACACTACGAGTGTACAATACATAAGCGCACAATATACATAATGTACATGAATACGGACAAAATAAAAGAAAGAACAAGGAATTTTATATCGCAATAATAAATGCGCATGTTTTCAAGGTCAGCTAATCAATGTGAACGTTTCGCGTAATTACATTTATTTCTTACTTTGTATAATACTTAGGTTATGAATCGGTAATATTATAAATGAAATGTAATTTGCAGCTACGAGGACCAGGCGGCGGTGTCGGAGGCGGAGGACAAGGCCAAGAAGACTGAGTAGAGCGCCGCGCGCCCTCCGCCCCCCGCCCCCCGCCCCCCGCCGCACAAGTACATGCATACAGACAAACTTTATATTATTATTATTTACTGGTGGGATAATTGGAACGGTATTTGCTTGAATTTGACGTGTGTAAATTGTGCGATTTTATTTGAACTTCCATATTTAAATATCTTCCATTCATTATATGATTATCATATACATTTTTATGACAAATGTTCAAATATTCGAAATGTAATTAAATATGCGCATAATAGATGTATTTTTTTTAAATTTTTTAAATCGTTTTCCTTTTCAGAGTTTTTTTATTTTCACAATCATTGTATATATTGTATTTTGTTTAGCTTCGTGTAAATCTTAGCTGATTAAGTTTTATAATTTTGTTATCTGTACCTTGAATGTTACCAATCTATACATTTCCGTAGCAAATCTTTTATTGTATTAACTTTGTGCTGTCTCATATAGTTGTTTCCAATTGGTATACAAACCCTGGTTTAATGTTAGATGTCACAAGGCAGACGAACTTTGATGATCGATCGGTGTACGACTTATACTTAATAAATGTATTAAAATTACCTGTTCTTTCATTTATACTTATATCCTTAAAAAATGAGTAATGACGAAAAATGAACATGTACTATAAGTATGGACTGCTTTCTCGTGTTAATTCTTTAAAATTTTTAACGATGTTTAAATAATGATAACAGGAATATTTTTTGGAAAGGCATCTGTGGCGATGTGTTATCATTGCAACAGTCTGAATATATATTTAATTCCTTTGATGTATCTTCATTTTACAAGCAAGATTATTTTTATCAGCTTTTTAAAAATGCTCCACAACGTACATTTCTATTGTAGAGCGACATCTAGTGGTTATATTACGTTTTAAAAAACGGGGCTTTACTTTCATGAAAATAGATGTCGCTTAAATCGAAACATGAGTATTTTATGATCCAAATTATGTCTTATTTTCTTCTTCGATATGCGATCAATGTAATGTTTTAATAACTGCATTACAGTATTGCAAAATTATAACACGTAAAATTAATTTAAATCAAGAAGCAAGAGGTTGTTTTGTCCAAATCGAATGACGATTAAAATCATTAATGTTGAGTTACTTCTCCGCTAGATGTCATAACAAGCGATTGTTAAAAATCAGAATCGCGATGTAGAGAATGGTGTCACTGGAATGAGGTGCGCGCGGAAGCCAAATTCCGGCAAGACCTTACTTCATAGGATCATTTCTATAGTAAGTTCTTCACGAGACCTTCACAACATGTGAG